TACAAAGATGGGTTAAGCAAATGAACATATAAAAACCAATTCTAAAATATCTAATAAAAAATGGGCCAGGGGTATGTATATGCAATTGACAAAAGAGAAAACAAACATTTAAAAAATTGTTCCACCTCAATGATAAATTAGGTGCAAATTAAATTAGCACCAATCAAATAGCTAAATTTAATAATATTGGTGAACATCTGGGGAGATGGGCATTTGATAGATGTGGATATGAGGGTTAACCCATGTTTCAGGAGGGCAACCTGGCAATATTATCAAAGCTTTAAAGTTCTGCGTGTTGTCTTGTTTTGGACACTTATTCTAAGGAAACATTCGTGAATGTGCACATTATTTGACAACAAGGTTACTGATTAGAGCTTCATTTATACAATAAACATTTAGAAATAAATGTCCAAAAAAGAGAAGACAGCAGAAATATTATGTCACAGATAGACAATAGAAAATGACATGGTCATGAAAATGATATTTTACCAGGATATGTGGTGACAAGGAAAGATAATTTCTTGAATATGGTTAAGTGATTTAAAAAACAGGATTACCAAATGGGACACATAATGTGATGACTAAGAAATGACCAAGTTACTAGTAAAAGCTCTGAGGGTGCCTTTAAGTCTTTCTCAGATAAACATTCTCAACCCCTTCTGCCATTTGTCCTTGAAAGGTGAGCACATCTTCTGAATCTGAAGAGTGGCCCAGGTGTGTAGGAAGGCTTGGGGACCATCCTGGCAAATGCTCACAGGACACAGGCTCTAATTTCCACACTTTGCTTAGTTTTCAAATGCATTCTGCATTGGCAATGCCCCTGTACAGCCTGGGTCTGAACAGCAACTCTTTGTGTTTACGGGGGACAATGAGAGTATTGCCAAGGTGATGATTTATTGGGCAGAGATGATGGGAAAGGCATTTCCAGCAGAGAAATTAGAATATGTAAAGGCACAGAGACTCAGAAGCATGTTTAGGGAATGGTGAGCAATTCCAGGAGACCAGGGCCGATATGGAGTGATGAGGGAACCTGGGGTAAGTAGCAGATGAAGTGGAAAGAGAGGCCTTTCTAACTCAAGCTAAGGATTTTGTGCTTTTCCCTCATCTTTGCAGATCTGAAGCCTTGGAATGGCATGTTGAGATCTGTGTTTTAGAAAGAGCACAGCGGTGGCGAAGTACTGGAGGCATGTTGTGAGGGATGGTTTAAGCAAAGGATACCATATGCTTAGCGCACTCTTTGAATTTTAGGGTCAGATGTGTTGCTGGTTTGCTAGTTAAGTGGTTTCTTCTGGCACTTCCTCTTATATGTTGGCCCAGGACTTCCTGATGGGCTCTAAGGAAAAACAGGATTGTGAGCCCACCCCAGGCAGAAAGAGCAAGTTGGGTGGTGGTGGTGGACAGAAAACATTCAGGTCTCCCGCTGTGGTCCCATTCATGTTTTCCCTGACCTGGGGCTTGGACAACTCTGAGGAGGTGGGCACCCATCCCAGGAAAGGGTGTGGCTCTGTGCTCAGGCCTCCCCCAGCCATCTGCTCTGCGGTGGGTCCTGTAGGTGCTCAGCCCTTTCAGCAGCCTCAAAGCTTTGTTGGGCAGACAGAGTCTGCATCTGTAGGGTTGGGGTGTGTTAATGAGGGGAGTGGGAGAGACAGGAACTGAGAAGGAAGAATTGCCAGGTTTCTGTGAGGTCTATGTGCATTTGAAAGAATTTAGAAATCAATTGAGAATGTAATTAGGTGATTTTTGTTTGTTTTTGTTTTAAATCCAGAACCTGTGACTCTTGTTCATGTGCACATGCCTGGATGTAGTCATTTTGAGTTTATGGAAAATGTGGTCAGTCCCATAAATCAGTGCTGAGGAATTCTCAAGAGTCATCACCATGTAAGTAATGTAGGTTTGTTGAAAGTCTCTTAAGGTAAAGCAAAACAAAACAGAAAAAGGATATAGACAGAGCTACGATACAGTCCTCCCTTCCCTGGAATTCGCCTCTGAGTTGCCACAGGGCAACTTTGAATTCTTGTTCGTAACTAATCTGTGACCTATCTTGTGTAACTCTGCATGTACATCAAGATGTTTGTGGCCATCATCATAACTATAGGGACACAATTCTCTGCATCTATTTCTCCTGTGTGTCTTAAAATTTTAGCAGGAGTGCTATAAAGAAAGCCCACCTGAAAGTAGGCTGGACAACCATAATAATTTCGTGGCAGACCTAGGTCAATGGTGTCCTAATTCTTTGACCTCCTGGACTTCAAATCTATTGTTTCATGTGATTGGATAATGAAAATTCAAGGTGGTATTGTGTTTCTTAAAAGCGCACAGAATATCTTCACATGTTAATACAAACTTTCATTCAAAAGTAGTAAATACGTGATTCAATTTAGGTGTGATGCATTAGGGGAAATTCATTGTTGCTGGATTTAATCCATCAGCCCCCCCCCCCCCCCAGTTGGTTCTTATATCTTACATATGATAATATATCTTTTCATCCCTCCTTTTTCCAAACCCTCCCACTTCTCAGGTTGACCCAGTTTGTTGGGGTCCAACCCCAGCAGGTCCAGGGGTTCCCAAAGGTGTGGATGGAGTCGGCGAAGAAGGAATGACAGCATCCAGTTGATCAGCAGCCTAGCCAGGTTCTCTTGCCAGGTTTTTGTGTTTATTCTCCTGTTACATCTGTATTTATACCATTTGATTTTAATCCTATCCATTCTATTCCAAAGGTTAGGGCATTTGTTATCTCCATTCCAAGGTCACTACTCTATTGTTCTGTTAAGCTACAAGGAAGTAACTGAAGGAGATTATCCTAAATAAAGATTATGTAGCTTAAGCATGATTGTTCGTAGTTAAAGTGATTAACTACCCAACTGGCACTTAGTTAAGGGGTTTTACTGATTTATTCCCTTCCTTAGTCCTGTTAATCCCTAACTCCAGGGAAAAATTCCCACCTGGGGAAACAACCTTTCTCGGAGAGGTGACCTTGGTTAAAACACATAGCGCTAAGAAGGGGAGCAAACATATTAAGAACAGTATGCCATATACGCCAGGTCCCTTGAAACATATGCTGTGCAGATGTTTCTTCCCTGCAGCGACTGTGTCAAGCAGCAAGGATGGACCGGCTTCCGGCACCAGTTTATGAATTTGTTTTGGCCAGAATGGTCAGTGGAGATGTTTTTCAGTTGCTCTGAAATGGGCTTGTACCAGCATGTTCTGTCACAAAAGATAGCACTTCTGACCCTGAGTGTAGGTTGCTTACTGTTTTTTTCTTAATCTGTTAGATGAGTCTCATGTATGCTAAAATGTTTTTAATTTTCCACAGAAACCGGATGTATAGCTTATAAGGTCAAATACCACCCTGAGTGTCAAGTTTATGGCCTAGGCTCATACTGCAAAGTTTGAACTAGCAGTGTGTTTTTGTAGACCTTCATAGACAAAATACATATGTCATATGCCACAAGCGCCAAGGTGGCCAAGTATTTCTACGACTTGGTTTCTTTCATGCCTTACTTGCCTGCCGTCCTGGCCACAACCTAGAGCAAGAACAGCTAATTGGGCAGTAGCTTGCACAAACGATGACTCTTTAGCGGTTCTCAACCTGTGGGTCGCGACCCCTGAAAATACATCCTGCATATCAGATATTTACATTACGATTCATAACAGTAGCAAAATTACAGTTATGAAATAGCAACGAAAATAATTTTATGTTTGGGGTCACCACAACATGAGGAACTGTATTAAAGGGTCACGGCATTAGGAAGGTTGAGAACCACTGCTAGACCATATCCCCTCAGCCACACACCATCTATTGTCACCAGGTGCGAAGGAGAGGAACCTGCCTAACAGGTTCTGCTCTCACGTTTTATTAGTTGTGTCATGCTGAAGGGTGGGCATGGCAAATATATGGGCATATTTGATACACATTGGTTGCAATTTGGTTTGAATTTTTGCACCAACCCTCCACGGATAGTAGAAAAGCATAAAGTAAATAATCATAATAAATGACTATGTGTTCAGTGTTGGTCAAATGCTTTACAAACATTGCCTTCTCCAATCAATCACACTATGAAGTAGTTATCATCTACTTTGTAAAGATGAAGTTCGTAGAGGTTAAGTGACTTGCCTGGAGTTAACTTCCAGCCAGGAAGGAAGAGAGATTCAAGCCCAGCTCCACCGGACTTGAAGGGAGCGCTGAGTCAGACATTTCATTGTGCTTTTGGGTGAATGTACCTAATTTCTTGAGAAGAAATAGAAGATGCAGACTGCTGACAGTTGAGGGAGAATTTGGTCCCAAGCTTTTGCTCTGTTAAACTTATGGAGGAGAGACCATCTCTTACAAGGAGACATGGCAATGATGTGATTTCAGCAGAATTGAGGTTGTTTCCAGTGTTGCTACGATCTGAACAGGGCAAGTGATTCAGCTCCTCAGCTCCCTCATTTACGAAACGAAGACACGGGCAGATGGTTTCTCAGGTCCCTGCTGGCTCCTCCCTTTCTAACTCCTCTTAGTTGGAGATGCTCTAAGCTTGGTCTGGACACTTTTGGGACAAATCCTTACCCGGACGGAAAGTACTCCTTTGCTTTTGGACCATTTGGGCCCAAAACCTGCTGCTGGAAGATGGGGGGACTCTTCTGTGGTCCCTGTTCCCCTGCCCCATCTTGTGGCTCTGGCATCCTGTTTGTCGTCACTGCCCAGGGTGGTGAGGAGCAGCAGGCCTCGCTCCTGCGATGGCCCAACGTCAGAACCAGCCCCCCTTTATTCACTTACCGTACCTATAACTTAAGTTCGGGTCCTAGGAAGCTAAACCCAACCTAGCCTGACAAAATCCTTTTCAGAAAAGCTAGTCAAAAGTCAACGTCTTATAAAACCCATAATTTTGTAAACTAGTATCTGATTTTTCATTGCATGAGATAATAGCTGGATTTGTTTACCTGGAGTTATTCTAGCTCTACAAACACAGAGGGAGACAGAAAATGACTGTGTGTGTGACACCATTTCTGAGTCCTACCGTGTCTCCTGGCTGTGGACGCATCACGGACACGCGGTCATATCCTTTCCTTAGTAGGACCCACAAGGCATCGAGTTTTCCCTGAAATAATAAAAAAAAGCATCAAGATTACATAGGAAAGCAGGCCAGTGGCCAGCACAGACCTGTGCAGTTTCCATGCTCCTTCGGTCATGTGAGAACACAGCACCGGCAACATGGTTGTGACAGGGTAAGGGACTCTTTAGTCCCTGAATTCAGAAGCGAAGGAGAAGAGACACCTACCAGAGGACCTGATGCTCATGCAGGATACACTTGAGATTTCAGTGCAGCCCCAAGTTTACAAACACAGAGAAGTTCATTCAGACCTGTTGGCTTTTGCCCTTTCACATTCCTGGGCATATCCTAACACAAGTCTATCTTTTCAGCTTCCATTAGAGTTTTTTTCCCTTCCTTAGTGCCCAGAGTTCACAAATGAAAACAGTGATGATAGATACAGGAAAATTACTAAACAGAAGTGTTTAAGGGCAAGACCAATGAACGGCCCTTAGGGTGCAGATACCCGGCTGTCCCCTAGGCTCACTAGGCAGGAATGACTTGTTCAGGAATCCATGGCTCAAGGGATATTTTACCAAAAATCACAGATGGCCTCAAATCACAACCTCTTTGTAGTTGTGGGTAATTGGTTGAATCTGAGAAGAGTGTATCCCCAGTATATGATGAAGGCAGTCTCATGCCTCTGGCCATTCTAGTGCCCAAGACACGCTTTATGGAGGCTGGTTTCTGCCATTGCAAATACCAAACAAACAAAAAGGCATTTATTTAGCTTTGTTCTTAGTATTACCCCTGGTTGGTGACTCTATCAACAGGCAGCAGTCCCCTTTACTTTGCCTCATTTTTTGTCATTGCCCTCGTGGTAGGCGGAAAAACCCTCTCCTTCCACCTTTACTGATGGCATCCTATTCTCTGGAACCTGTGAACATGTTGCCTTCCATGGCAACAATAACTTTGTAAATGTGATTAAATTAAGGATCTTGAGCTGGGGAGATTATTCTGAGTTAGCCAAGTGGCTTTCATCTAACCACATGGGTCCTTAAAAGAGGGGGAGGAGTATCAGAGTCAGAGAAGGAGATGTGCCTGCGGAGGCAGTCAGAGTGATCCAAGTGACAAGACTCAACCCACTGTTGCTGGCTAAGAATTAGACAGACATGGGGTCCAATCCCACCTCTCCAGTGAACAAGCCGTGTGCCTTTGGGCAGGTTAGTTGGGAGGGGGCTATAAGCCAGTGAGTGGATCTGCCTCTAGAATCTGGAAAGGACAAAGAGATGAATTTTTCTTCTAAAGCTTCCAAACAAACAAACAAACAAAAAACCCCAAAAAACAAAACACAGCCCTGGCCTCACCTTGATTTTAGCTCAATAAGACCCATTTTAGGTTTCTGACCTCCAGAACTGTAAGATAATAAATTTGTGTTGTGTTAAGTCACTAAGTTTATGGTGATTTGTTACCGCAGCAATGGGAAACGCATACAGCCCTTATCACTCCCTGACACATTCTATGTTTATTTGCTTATCATCTGTCTTTGCCAACTGGAATGCCAACTCCGTGAAAGCAGGTGTCACTGGTTTTGAGAACCGCTGTGTGCCTAGCCCTGAGGACAGCATCTAATGCTCAATAAATATTTGTTGGGTGAATGAATGTATTCAGTGCTACTAGGTGCTGGGCTCAGTGCTTTTACATGTGTCCTCTCATTTCATTCTCCCAGCAGCCCCAAAGGTTTATGGTGAGGAAATAGATGATCAGAGAGGTCAATTAACCTGCCCAAAGGCACAGCTTGTTCACTGGAAAGGTGCGATTGGACGCCATGTCTGTCTAATTCTAAAGCCCATATACTTTCTACTATATACTGATGGCAAATTCTTCCTCGGACAATTGTGGCTGGAGCACCTGAGTTTAGATCCTTTAGAATAGAATTTCTAAACTGTAGGTTGCAAGTCTTTAAGTGCTTATGAAACAATTTTGTATGTTAGGAACAGAATTTTTAAGAAATAAAATAGGATAGAAAAGAAAAGATTAGAGTTAATTGCACATGGTGAGGATAAGTATTATTTTGTGAAAAATGTTTCAGTTAAATGTGCGCGGGTGTGGGTATGAGTGTACATGTGTGCACAAATGGACACGCATAGGCAAATACTGGGCCAACATGTATTTCCCACCTGGGTCTCAGGCAGACATGCTGGAGAACACGGGTCTGGAAGAGTCTCTGAGGGATGGTGCTGGGAAGGCTGGGGGTGTCTAGAGAGTTCAAGTTCTGTGACACGAAGCTCTCACAGTGGCAATGTTAACTGAAGAATACCACGTCGAAGACTTCCTGTTCTGAAATGATTTTCTGGTGGGTTATATTCAGATACCAAAAGTATGCTCTTGAACCTTTATCATTTGTTGCTCAAGTTCTTGTGGGTTAACTTTGCCTCGCTAAGTGCAGTGTTTCTCATCTCTTTTGGCAAAGTATTTACGAAAGCCTCTGAAAATATTTTGAAATGACTTTAGAATGCTGTGTTCAGCATGGTTTTCTGCATTCAGCCCATCTCAATCAGCAGTTGCTTGTTTTCCTTTAGGGTTCTTTGGGATAAGCATTTATATTTCAGCCTATAACCAGGTGGGTTTCCTGGAAGAAAGCCTCTTTTTCTTTTTCTTTCCCCTTTTTTTGGGTGACTAACAGTATTCGGTTTTGTAAATCAGCCCACCCACAGCACTCTGGGCGCTAGTCACTCAACTTCTTGACAAATGAGGGGCGATGAGGTAAGGCTGAAAGAAAATTGGGCTGTTGAAGCATATTAATTAACCCAGCAGACATTTAAAGCTACATGCGGAGCAAAAGAGCAGAAGCCACCTAGATGTATAACACCAGGAAAACGGGTCGTAAATTACGTTTTTCTTTGTGTCAACAGATCATAGTGTAATACTTAAGCACAAAATGACGGAATTCAGACTGCCTGCATTTGTATTCTGGGACTATCCCTCACTGGCTCTGTGGCCTCGGACAAGTTGGTTCATCTCCCTAATGCTTACTGTTCTCATCTTTAAAATGACGATAATAATACTGTCTGTCCCATAGACGTGGTATGAGGCTTACAATTAGACAGGCACTTGTCTCATAGAAAGTATTCATTAAATGTTATCTATGATCATGGTAACGCCATTACGATGACCATTTGGGAGCCTCTGTAGAAAGACAGAAAAGAATGTAATGCAGAGTGTAAGGATCCAATAATTTGAACTTTATTAGCATGTACCTCCCCATCCTCTCTTCTGTGCTTTTTTAACCCTTTTCCCCCTTTCTCTTGAGCCACACTTCTTCTTCAGCAGAACAGTGTTGGGCTTCTCTAGCAGTGCTCAGTGGCCCCAACACTCCACCGAAGCTGCTCTTGCTAAGGCCACCCATGGCAGCCCGAGGGCCAAGTGTCTTTGCCACCTTTGTTCCTCTTTTACTGGATTCTTCTGAGAGATCTGACATGCCGGGCCTCTCCCTTTGCACAGGCCCTGGGCTCTTGTGCCATCAGCCTCTGACTGCTCCTCCCTCTCTCGCCGATGAGTCCTTTTCAGCCTCTTTTGCTCCTCCCTCTGCCTACACTCTGGTGTTCCCCTGGGTCCTCTTCTAGTCTCACCCCCAGGCTGAGGCTCACCCTGACGACTCTCAGCCAGTCTCACTTCCCCCCTTTCTGCTGATGCCTCACAAATCCTATCTTTGGCTTTGTCTACTCTTCAGCTCTCGATCTGGGTATCCAGTGACTTATCAAATCTCAGTTGTAACCTAGACATAGCACAGGTATTGAAAACCAAACACCACAAATTGAACTTTCTCTAAACGTGCTCCTCCTTTTGTAAACCCTGCCTTGGTTCACGGCACCATCCATCCAGATGGGCAAGCTGAATCCCCCCCCTGCCCCCGCCTCATGTCTGAATTCCACCACACCTTATGAATGTTCTCTCTGTAACAGCTTTCCAGCCGTCTCCTCCTGTCCACTCCTGACCCACCGTCTCCAGGGTGCTGCCTTGGCCCAGGCTCTTATCTTGCCACTCACTGTCGTAACAGTTTCCTGATTGGTCTTTAACTTTTATACTCCCTATCTTCTCTCCTACTTGAGTACTAACAGATTTCATTGCTAGTTTAAATGAATGCATTGCAGTTAATAAAATAAAGCAAGAAACCTCTTACTAAAGGTATGTATTTGGGCAAGTTACCAAGCCTCTCTGTGCCTTGGTCTTCCCAATGAGAGTCGTATTAGTTTTTCTTTTGAAGGGTTGCTATGAGAAATAAAGGAGCGAGTGCATGGAAGGGCCTGGATCTGGGCCTGACTTATGGTACAGGCTTCCTCCAGGCGAGGGCTTCAGCCAGGTGAGTTGCTGTTGCTGAACTCTCCTGGCCCAGGTGAGACTCGCTGGCTCTAGTTCTATCCTCAGTATGCCGAAGTCTGGCTGTCCCACACATGACCCGAAAGCCTCCATTCTTTGGCATCGAAAACCATCTTATTAATCCATACATTCAATACCTCTTTCTATGCCTATATCAGGTAGCTTTTTAGGCAAGAGCCGAAGTAAGCTGTAGAATAAGTATTATAACCAAGAAGAGAGTAAAGAATAACTCTGTCAAGTCAAAGAGAAATGCCTAGCAAAGCTCGTGGAGCCTTGATTTCTGAATGTAGGCAGAAGCCTGTCATCCAAGACGGTAGCTAATGTGCTTATTAGTAGCATCCCCTTGGGGCCAGAAGAGCCTCAGGGGGTTCTTTCAACCAGTCCCCGGGCCTCATGCCAAGCCTGGGGAGGACCCTTCGGGTTGACTCCACCACTTATTCTAGCTTTGAGCGTCCACCACGCGCAGGCTTCTCCACGGGACACATGCAGGATGCTGGTCCTCACTCCCCAGGAGAAATGCCCAGCTGCTTCTGTGAGCCAAG